GTGTGTGTTTCCTGTGTTTGGTGGATGTGGTTCCTGTAAAGAATGAAGATGGCGTGGTGATCATGTTTATTCTGAATTTTGAGGTCATGCCGGACGATAAACTGCACGACCCGCAGGATCTGAATCACAAGCTGCCTCTGCTGTGGCGTCACTCCAGTACGTCACACACTCTCTTCAGTCAACACTACATCTAATAACATCCCTTTAAAACATTACCTTAATTAGCACATGTCATGAGAAAAAGGACCTTAACACAAACTAAGCTGCAAAAACGGCCCAATCAGAAATATATATTTATATATATATTTTTTTTTATATATATATTCTTTCTTCCATTTTAAAATCCAGTTATCACAAGTGACTGTAATGGGAAGGTCATGCAAATTCAGCTCATTAACATATGACCGCCCTCATTTAAATATTACAGTAATACAAGTATTACCGTATACAATATAATAGGTTCATTAGTTAACATTAACTACATTAGTTAACATGGACTAATAATGAACAAGTCTTCTTCAGCAGTTATTAATTTTAGTTCATATTAATTTCAACATTTACTAATACGTTATTAGTTAACATTAGTTAATGTACTGCGAACTAACATGAACAAACAATGAGCAGCTGTATTTGTATTGACCAACATTAAAAAAGATTAATAAATACTGTAACAAATGTATTGCTCATTGTTAGTTCATGTTAGTAAATACATTAACTAATGAACCTTATTGTAAAGTGTTATCAATATTGCTAACATTTAGCACTTCAGTGACTGTCTTCAGCTGGGTTTGTAACATATTTCACATACAAAAATGTCAGCCAGTCACAAAATAGATAATTTACATATTAAAACCCATATTAAAACGTGCATGTGTGGTGAATAATCATAAAAAGTCTTGACTTGAGTCTAATATCTCTAATGTCTCTCCGTGTGTTTTTCTACCTCAAACTTAAAAAATAAACGTCATTTAAATAAACGAATATTTGATTTTTATTAGCCCAAATATTCGAATACAATATTTTTAAAAAATGCCCATCCCTGCCTGTGTGGAAAATGTTCATAAAAGATGCACACAAAAATGAGTCTTGACGTTTCCTCTGTGTATTTGTGTGCCGCAGATCGCGCCCGAGGCATCCGTTTACGCCTCCCCCTCCTGAACTCCCGGAACAACAGTAAATCTTCTCTGCGGGAGGATCCCGAGGCAGGGCGAGGAACGGGTTTCCCCTGCGGCTCCGGTCGACAGAGCCCCGAATCCCTGGCGCTGGGCGAGCTCCTCTCGCTGCCAGAACACCAGCGCCCCCGTGTGGCCACCGGCTCCACCCGCTCCACCGGCCTCGTGACCCCACCGTCCTCTCGGGACCTGTTGGGCAGCGACCCCTCGTCTCCTCCTCCGGCCCCCCCGCACCCCGTCACGCTGCCTCTGGGTCAGTCCTCGCCTCGACCGCGCCGGCTCGACCCGGACACCACTGTGTCCAACTGCAGCCTGAGCAACAGCCGCTCGCGCGAGAGCTTTCACAGCATGCGGCGCGCGTCTTCGGTGGACGATATCGAGGCCATGCGGCCGGAGTGGGAGCGGAAGCACCGAACCCGACCCATATGCAGCAGCACGGGTGAGAAAACTGGGCTGGAGATGCACGAAATTAAAAGTGACATTTAAAGTCCACTTGTAATCAATCATTTTATACCTTAAAACACACCAAAATGACATATTTAAACGTTTTTTACCTCAAAATAAAATGAGTCATGCCTTAAAATATCTTGAATGTAACTCGACACCCTTGCTTCATTTAGTATGCGCGGTTCTATGAATATGCAAATGAGCCCCGCCTCCACTCACTCCCTCAGCTCAGAGATCCACTGGTTGACGATCACACGTTGATCTGATTGGTTACAAGGTCGTTTGTGACGTCAGAAACACCAGCGATTTCAAACCGTGTTTTTGAGACTGTCTTTGGTTCACTGCAGTTTTAAGCAGAAAATACTCAGCAATGCTGTCGACTTATGAACTTACACATGGTGTGTCTTAAAGCAGATTAAAAACACCACATACACACATAAACAACATTAAAAGCTGGATTCTCACCACAGGGGGACTTTAACATGTTACAAAAGATTATATTTCAAATAAATTCTGTTCTTTTAAACTTTCTATTCATCAGAGAATCCTGAAAAGTTTTTAACACTGATAATAATCATAAATGTTTCTTGAGCATCAGATCATCATATTAGAGTGATTTCGGAAGGATCATGTGACACTGAAGACTGGAGTAATGATGCTGAAAATTCAGCTTTCATCACAGGAATAAATAAAACTTGACTATATATATTCACATAGAAAACAGATGTTTAAAAAATCTATATATTTACTGATCAAATAAACGCAACATTAGTAAACAAAAGAGACTTGCAATTACATTAAAAAAACCTTAATATCGTACCAATCCCAAACGATAGTGCAGATATACAGTATGATTTGCTAATAAAACACTGTAAAATGTCAAGAGTGTTTCCGAAATAAAACCTGTTTCTTTCCTCAGGAGCCGTGAACAACAAGTCCAGCATCCTGAACTCTACCTCGGACTCAGATCTCATGCGTTACCGCGCTATCAGCAAAATCCCCCAGATCACGCTCAACTTCGTGGACTTTAAAGCGGACCCGCTCATCTCCCTCCCGCCCGGAGACATGGACATCATCGCTCCCTGCAAACTCATCGACCGCACACACAACGTCACAGACAAAGTCACTCAGGTAAGACGGCTCTGACCTTTATCCTGAAGCTGAAGAATGCCAGGCCATGAGTTAATTAAAGGGGTCATCGGATGCAAAATTCACTTTTATTTGGTGTTTTGCATATAAATGTGTGTGTGCAGTGTGTGGACACAACCGCCATACAATGATACAAATATATTCACTCCTTTCACTTCACTACTTTATCCTCAAAAAGTCTAAACACTCTCAATAATCAAGCCGTCTGGATTTTCTGAGTACTATGATGTCATATTGCTCATGCTCCGCCCACGACTGCTGACGTACTGTCCCGTATTAGCATATTTCCTGTATTAGCATATTTCCTGTATTAGCATATTTCCTGTATTAGCATATTTCCCGTATTAGCATATTTCCCGTATTAGCATATTTCCTGTATTAGCATATTTCCTGTATTAGCATATTTCCTGTATTAGCATATTTCCTGTATTAGCATATTTCCCGTATTAGCATATTTCCCGTATTAGCATATTTCCCGTATTAGCATATTTCCTGTATTAGCATATTTCCTGTATTAGCATATTTCCTGTATTAGCATATTTCCTGTATTAGCATATTTCCTGTATTAGCATATTTCCTGTATTAGCATATTTCCCGTATTAGCATATTTCCCGTATTAGCATATTTCCTGTATTTGCAAATTTCCCGTATTAGCATATTTCCCGTATTAGCATATTTCCCGTATTAGCATATTTCCTGTATTAGCATATTTCCCGTATTTGCATATTTCCCGTATTTGCAAATTTCCCGTATTAGCATATTTCCTGTATTAGCATATTTCCTGTATTAGCATATTTCCCGTATTTGCAAATTTCCCGTATTAGCATATTTCCTGTATTAGCATATTTCCCGTATTTGCAAATTTCCCGTATTAGCATATTTCCTGTATTAGCATATTTCCCGTATTAGCATATTTCCCGTATTTGCAAATTTCCCGTATTAGCATATTTCCCGTATTAGAATATTTCCCATATTAAAATATTTCTCATATTAGCATATTTCCCATATTAGAATATTTCCCATAATAGTATATTTCCCATATTAGTATATTTTCCATATCAATTTATTTCCCATATTAGTATATTTTCCATATTAATTTATTTCCCATATAACATATATTAACATATTTTTCATATTAGCATATTTGCTGTATTAGAATATTTCTAATATTTCTAATATAGAATATATATTAGTATATTTCCCATATTAGTATATTTCCCATATTAGTATATTTTCCATATTAACATATTTCCCATATCATAATATTTCCCATATTAACATATTTCCCTTATTATAATTTTCCCATATTACAATATTTCCCATATTAGCATATTTCCCATATTTGCATAATTTCCCATATTAACATTTTCCCCATATTAGAATATTTCCCATATTAGAATATTTCCCATATTAAAATATTTCCCATATTAGCATATTTCCCATATTAACATATTTCCCATATTAGAATATTTCCCATATTAGTATATTTCCCATATTAACATATTTCCCATATTAGCATATTTCCCATATTAGTGTATTTCCCATATTAGCATATTTCCCATATTAGCATATTTCCCATATTAACATTTTTCCCATATTAGAATATTTCCCATATTAGCATATTTCCCGTATTTGCATATTTCCCATATTAGTATATTCCCCATATTAACATATTTTGCTTATTAGCATATTTTCCATATTAGTATATTTCCCATATTAGTTTATTTCCCATATTAACCTATTTTTCGTATTAGCATATTTCCTGTATTAGCATATTCCCACCCTCAGGCAGTTGCTCATTAGCATTTAAAGAGACATGCACTGATACGGGTCGCTGTGAGCAGAGCTGTTCTTGAGGAGGTAAAGAGTGTTGTATTACACAACCATTGAGGAATTTTAACCAAAGTATGTTACAAACTTTACATGAAGACCCTAAAGAGTCACACCAACTGGTCACACCATCCGACGACCCCTTTTGAGCTACAAAGCTGGAGGATTTGACTTCAGAATCAAAAGTGATGTTTTTAGTGTTTGCGGTCTGTGTGTGTTTTGGGTTTTGAGTCTGAGAGCGAGATTGAGGTGTTCGTTCCTCTAAATGAGACGCTTCTCCTTCAGCTTCACGTGTCGGCAAGAAAAACATCATCAAGAGATTCTGGCGGCCCAGATTAAAAATTAAGATTAAGACAGTTTTTAAGGAAGCTGTTGATGTTGGTGTTGATGTGCTTTGAGGGTTTATCTGGCAAAGTTGAACTCGTATATCATTGTGTGTTTGAAGATGCTGTGTGTGGGACGGGATTAAACTTCACTGACTTTGACAACATACACTCTTAAAAACAAGTAACCGTTCACTCACAAACGTCACACTCATTGACTCTCAGTCTTCTGTGGGACACAAAACCAGATGTTTACGACGCAAGACCTCAATAAAAGTATCAACAACCTTAAAATGATCATTGATTCAGCTTTTAAAATGAAATCCTCAGTCATTTTGACTGCTATTTGATTCCTCAACCCTATAGTTTTCTTTTCAAAGCGTATTTTACTCCTACAGTTTGTAAATTAAAAGTAAGTAAATGTAAAAAAATTATTTTAGTTAGTAAAAATCAAAATTAATCCAATTACATTTCTCGATTCCAGAAAATTATTATTTGTATTCAGAATTTCTACTTGATATTTTAGAGCTAGGCATAACTTGTAAAATGTATATTCATTATGAAAATGCTCATGGCGGTTTAAATACTTTATTAAATGACATTTCTTTTCAGGTCTAGCCATCGATCACAACTTTAAAATCAGGCTTCCTCACAAATCCAGGTTTTCCAAAAGTTTAGAATAACAATATCTTGATTTTTTTTTTTTTTTTTTTGGAAATTCGCTTATTTTAACGATTGTTTGACTGATTTTAAATCATTTTAAGTCATCCTGTGTGAGAACTGCTGCGCTTTTATTATTTAACAAAGAAACTTTATTTTTAAGAGTGTAGTGAAAGTCATTTTCTAGATAAAGTGGTCGTCTGGAATCAGTTGAAATGTTATGTATTTCTGTGTGAAGTGTTAAAAACCAAGGGCTTCATCAATGCTTTTAATGCAAATGCGTTTGAGATAAACCTGTTCATGCATCGATTCCCTGGGAATGACCCCATGACCCTGAATGACCCCATGACGCTGAATGACCCCATGACCCTGATGTTTGACGACTCCGTAACTTCAGTGTCTTCATCAGTCCTCATCAGAGAAGAGTTAAACGCTCATCTTTCCCCCCGACGGCCGTAACTGGGTTAATTTAACGCTCGCGACGCGTGCCGCCCATGTGCTGGTGGGAGATTAAACGAAAGAGGGCGGCAGGGATTGACGCTTCGTGATGAGATCATGACAGATGAGCATGTGCTTCTCAGCGCCGGTGGGTTTGAGAGCGCCACGGTTCCTGCACACCTGCTGTCCTGCAAACATGGTCACATGATGTGTTAGCAATGCAGCCGATTATCAGGTCATGTGACGTCCAGTTCTTTCTTATCAAGCATATTCAATACATCCATGTTTAATACAAGTTCAATTCGATCAACAGCATTGGAGACATAATGACAATAACCACCAGAAATAAAATACATACATATTTTTAAATCATTTTTATTATTTGTTAATTAATTGTTCCATACAAAAATGTGGTATTTGTAAAAAAAAAATTTTTTTTTTTAAATAATTTGTATGCACAACTAATTTTAATAATTTCTTTAAGAATTGTGTTATTTTTGTTAATAATCTTTCCTTCCATACAAAAATGCTACAAAGTTTTTTTTTTTTTTGCATAATTATAATTCAGTTCAGAAAAAGAGTAATACTGAACAATGAACATGAACAAGTGGGGATACAGATAATAAAATAAAATATTTATTTTTCTATAATACGGGATGTTTTCAAAGCTTTTTTATTGGAAGAGATTTTTTTTGAAGTGATGACAATAATAACTGTAAATCATAAGCAAATACTTTGCAGTTAAAAATGCTACAAAGTGTCTAAATCTAAGACTTTAGTTATTTGTCATTGATGCACTTTTGGCCGCAGTTTTCTAGATTATATCCTAAATCTTATCCCTATACCTTTTATTTTATATATTTTATTATTTTAATACCTTGTGTTGAACTCAGAACTCTATTTAGATTAATAAGCATCAGATCGTGGGCAACTGTTATCATCCTGCTGCTCTTTTTTTGTTGTAAGCTGTTGTCATGATGATTATGATGATGTGATCACTTTAATCTAATCAGCATGTGTGTGTGTGTGTGTGTGTGTGTGTGTGTCAGCGAGCATTCGGCGTGTCACTTCCTGTCCCGTCCACCACAGATAACTCATAATGAAGCTGTTTCTAATTTGTCCACAGCAGGATTTAAGGAAGAATTCACTATTGATTGCCGCAGTGAGTCAAGTGTGTGTGTGTGTGTGTGTGTGTGTGTGTGTGTGTGTGTGTGTGTGTGTGTGTGCGTGTGTGTGTGTGTGTGTGTGTTTTAAGCTTTTGTCCGCTGGATCAGACTGTGTATTAAGTCTATCAACTACCTGTCAAAAGTTTGGATACACCTGCTAGTTGTTCATTATGACTAGTTTCAGTAATACAGTAATAGTAAAACGCATAAATAAGAGAAATTAAAGTCTGGTAATGATGATGTGATCAATCATAACGTGTCACAAATAAAAACTCGGTGACACTTTACGATAAGGTTCATTATTTAACATTAGTT